AGTGAATTCAATCAGTCGATGGTCACTATCCCCTAGGTTCCCTTGTACCTGCAGATTCCCCACCAGGTCATCCCTCGTTACTAACATCAAGTCCAGAAAGGTGTTTCCCCTAGTGGAATCACATACCTCCTGTGTTAGGTGGAGGTCCTGTATGCAGGTTAAGAACCTACATGAGCACCTAGATTTGGCTGTCTGCTCCTCCCATAAGATGTCAGGGTAGTTTAGGTCACTCATGACAACCATATCTCTCAACTGGGAAAAGAGATGTAATTAATTTATATGTCCCATTCTGATTCTGGCCGCAATGCTGCTCACTGGTACTTTCATCTTTGTTGATATCAGTCCATCAAAAACTTGACTGAATTTCACCAACACACTTTCATACAGCACCTAACAAATGTCTTACAGCAGTGTGCCAGGCATAGCGCCAAAAGATACCCACTTTCAACTTTCTACATTTACAGATAAAGTGACCCTGCAACTGCATTTATGGCACAACAACAGTGATGCCTAGGACTAGTTTTTCAGAAAAACTCTGGGACAGATTTTCAAGGCTAGGGACAGACTTTACATATAAACCAGTTTAAGTGATCATAAACTGGTTTAAACCTGTAACAGTACAGACATTCAGTGCACATAAACCAGTTTAAAAATGGCCAAAACCAGTTTGAGATAAACCTGGTGGAGTGTACTATATCAGACTTAACTGATCGAGTTCAAACTGGTTTATGCAATGTCTGTCCCATACCCCTTCCTGGTTTAACTGAAACCAGAGTCCACCAGTATCCCGGCATGCTCTCTGGGCTGGGCTCTGTGCTCCAGCTGAGCAGGGCTAGCCACGCCCCTCTGGTCCCCAGCCAAGCAGGGACAAGCAGGGACAGGCAGGGGTGGGTGTCTGGCCAGAGAGGCATTTAATTCCCCCCTGCCTGTCCCACCAGCAGGGACCTGAGCTGGGTCTGTCTGATGGAGGCTCCCACTCACTGCTGCAGCAGTGGGCCAGCATGGCCCCAGGAGGCAGAGGGGGCAGGGAGGAGAGTCATTCCCCCCTCAACCCCCATTGTCCCTAGGGAACCACAGCCGGGTCTGCCCACCCCAACCGCTGCCACCACCATGCTCACTTCCTGCTTGGGGCAAGCAGCAGAATAAGCCCCCTCCACCAGATGCTGGAGGGAAGGGAAATAACCCCTGTACCTGCCCCCCACCTAAAAAGGCCCTGCCAGCTGGTGTCTGGCCATGCCCCAGCCCAGCTGCTGCAGTGGTGAGGGGGCAGGGCCCTTGATGGGGGCAGCAGCCCCTGTGATAGTGTCAGGGAGCATAAGCCCCTTCCTTGTGGGGAGGCCCCACTGCAGGACTAGCAGAGCTGTGACAAACTGTGTGCAGCAGCACCAGGGCTTGGAGAGAGCCACAGCCCTCCAAGCCACCACCACCACTGCGGTCCACAGCAGCTTTTCTCACTGGGAAGAGGCTTGTGCTTGGGGAAACCATAAAAGGGACTGCTGCCCCCATCATGGTTGCTTCCCCCTTGCCTCTCCAGCAGCCACACAGCGGCAGGGGCAGGTCCACATGCTGGCTCACAGGGCCCCTTTAGCATGGGGCAGGAAATGAGGCTGTTCCTCCTTCTGCTGCCCAGGGCATGCAGCCGGGTCTGGCTGCCCCAGCCACCACCGCCACTCACTCTATGCCCAGGGCAAGTGACAGAATAAGCCCCCTCCACTGGACATCAGGGTGCAGGACAGGGCTTATTTCGCTGCTTGCCCTGGGCACAGAGCAAACAGCAATGGCTGGGGAGGGCAGACCCTGCTGTGATGCCCCTGGGGCAGAGGGGGGAATAACCCTGCTCCCAGCCTCTGCCTAAGGGACCCTGCCAGCTGGCATCTGGGACCCCCACCCAGCTGCCAGGGCCCTGCCCCCTTGCCGTTGCAGTGGCTGGGTGAGGGCACAGCCAGATACCAGCTGGCAGATCCCCTGAGGCAGGAGGCAGGGACAGGGGTTATTCCCCCTCCATCTGACATCTGGTGGAGGGGGATTATTCCTCCATTTCCTCCACGCAGGGAGCAAGCGGTGGTAGTCAAGGCTGCAGTCCCCTGGAGGCAGTGGAGGTGGAGCGGGGAATAACTCCCTTCCCTTCCCCCTCTGCCTCAGGGGCCATCCTGGCCCTCTGCTGCAGCAGGCAGGGGGAACACCCAGCACCCCTGGCTCAGGTCCCTGCTGGTGGGACATGGAGGGGGGAATTAAACCCCTCTCTGGCCAGTTCAGCCAAAGCTACTACATGGGCTGGCCACACCCTGCCAGCACAGCTTTCCTGCAGCCAAAGGCGTGCTCCAGCACCCCCGGCTCCTGACCTGAGCAACTGCAGGCAACTGTGCCCGCATTTCCTTAGGCCGCAAGGAATGTCTGTTCTGTTACAAATTGGTTCAACCTAGGCAGGTTAAACTAACCTGAAACGACTGAATAAATTCAGGCTGAGGCTTTTGGAATGTCTGTCCCTAACCCAAGAGTTCAGTCATCCTTTTTACACCTAAAGAAAGATAATATTTCCAAAAGTGTTCAGCACCCAGTTGTGACACTTATGAGATTTTCAGAATGCTGCCACACTTGGAATGCACCCAGCACATGAGCTCTTCTGAAGCCTCTGTAAACTTGTTGTACAAATTCTAACTAAAGAATCACCAATGGGTATATAAAATGGACTCAAACCCAGTGCTACATTCTGCTCTGTTCATTTTTTGAAATTTTGGAAATTTTATTGCCTATACTTGTTCATCTTTAACAGAGTTCACTGATAACAAAGTATGATTTGATTTATGCTATTACAATGAAGCTTCTACTTATTGATCTACAATGGGATAACAAGCTTTAGCAACTGGTTGATATGCTGTTCCAATGATATATTCATCTGGAAGGTTGCTCTTTAACCACTGTCATGTTATGTAATGTACTTCAACTTAATATTTACAACACAATAATTATTTTTAAATAAAATCCCTCTTATCTTTGATCACTGTCCATTTCTTTCTTATACTACCTCTTACATAACAGCACTTTTTGCAAAAATGTTTTATCTATAAGATCAGCAAAGGAACAGAACCCTTCACTGTTCCGGAGATTCCTCCCCCATTGACGGTTACACACTTTTAGCCCCACTAAAACACAATGCCACTTGGGAGTCACTACTTTGAAGAAGTGTAAGAAAAGAAAGTCCTGTCTAAATGAGAGGTAAACTTAATTCATCGTGTACTTAGTAGCTTCCACCTTACCTGGTCTTGGAACATTGTTCCACCAAAGGCCCAGACAACAGCAAAAACAAAGTAAAGTTCATAGAGCTCCTTGGGACAATCAGGAGGAGTGTTTTCCTTAGTCAGGAGACATTCAAGGAGGAAACATAATGTCTGAATCATACTCTGCTCTGGAACAGGAATAATCTTCTTAAATCTAAGGGATGGAAATTGGTCACATGTACAGTATAACTGGACTGATAACAATAGTCATTCACCATCATGATAGATGCATTGAAATCCACTTCCAGAATATTAATATTTTACTGTTTTGCGGTTTCTCTCTTGTTCACCAGTACAACAAATAAATAAAACACCAGTTTCTCTTCCTTGGACCTGCTGACACAAGCACACACACAAGTAATAACAGTAATCAAAAATTTTAAAATGCCTCAAGCTTTGATCCTCTTGGAAGAAGTAAAATAGGATATTTGCTAGAGGCAAATATTTCTTGAGAACAGGATGAGTTCAGGAACAGTCAGATAGAAAAATAATAAAATAAACAATTTCATCTTGCCATTTTACATTGACTTAGATTCTATTTACTGCATTATTAACTTAATTTGAGGCAGCCAGAATAACGCTAAAGCCTTTCATCAAATAATTCCTGTTATTTGAATGGTTGGTGCTTCAATTTCTGAATTAAACAAGTTATAAAAACATTTGGCTTATAACTGCCTACAGCTTATCCTGTGGTTTTCATACTCCATCACAATGCACAGAAAACAGATTGTGCTGCTGACTGGTTACACAACCCCCAGTTAGGGTAGCAAAAACCCTGCTACTGTAAACCCTCACTTTTGTTAGTGCGTTTCCCACTGAAGCAGCTGCCTAGTTTATGATCAAGTGATCTCTGCCCCAGTGTACACATATTTAAGCTGGGTTTTTTGCTCATTAACTGAGCTTGACTGGTAAAGGCAGTTGAATTAATGATGGTAGTCTAATCTCCAGAACTCCATACCTACCAATCTCAGTCATTTCCCAGTTGAGATGATACGTTTCCAAGGCTGCTATGCAAGCACAGCCTCATAGAAGCTCTATACAAAAAAAATATTTAACAGAATGGGGGCCTCGATGCCTCATCATTGGTCACCCTTCCTAAAACATGGACATTAGTTGAAAGTCAAATGGGTAACTGTCCAACCTGTACAGAACACAGGGTGCCTGTAGACAGGCTGAGAGGCTGCTCCAATGCACTGTAATTACCATGCATTGAAGTGTAGTAATTAGTGTGCTCCAGCAGCATCCCATGTTTCATGTATCAGCATCCCTGCACTTCAAAATGGCAGCAGGGATGCTTGAACTAAAGCTCATCAAGTGAGCTTTAGTTCTAGTGCCCCCACTGCCATTTTGAAGCACGGGGATGCTGCTGCTAATTAAAGTGCTGCAGCATCTCATGTGTCACTCAAAGCTACTGTAATTAAAGCACTCCCCACCCCTGGAACAGGTGTTCAAATGCCCAGGGAGCTTAAATGACTTACTGCAAACCTTAATTATATTGAAAAGAAAACAATTGTTTTTGACTGAACTGATGCCAAGAGTGAACTGTGTCCAGGCTGGAAATGGACAAGCACTAACTTCAATTATTACAAACCTGTCACAAAATGCATTTAGAGCAGAAGCTTCATAGGGAAAGAGCTCAACTCTTTACTTCAGAGAAACTTTCCTGTGATAGATTTGGAATGATCATAGAATCTGGGTACTTGTAAAGTCCTTAATACCCACTATAGAAGATTAGAGCGATACTACAGAGTACAATAATAAAGGTCAGAGAGCCCCACAGGGGTACCAGATTACATAGATGCTATACATAGTCATTTTGGTAATAATTAGTATGCAACCTTGTATAGTTTATGTATTCCTATATGGTCCCTATAAGCTTATGTAACTCACCCTCGTCCTGTAGAAGGGAACTTTTAAAAATTAGTTCATCTTGAGAAGGGCAGCAAGACCCTCTTGAGCATACACAGTGGGGACATGGTGGTGGCTGGTGGACATGTTGGGTGTACTATGAAGGTCAAGGGGAGATAAGAAATTCTATCCTAGCAATGAAGGTGGAGGGGGTGTGGTAGCCGGGTCCAAAAGGGAGTGGTAGCTGGGCCCAGAGGCACTTGTGTATGTGATGAAAATTGCCCTTTTGTGCAGCTTAATGACATCATACTTTACAGGTATGCGAGTTTTTGGTGATTTAAATGAGTTTGCATCATCATAAACTAATCCCCATCCTGATGTAGTTTAGTGTGCGATGACACAACTTGGAATGGTGCAGCTACTAATCTATCACATGTACACTGAATGACATGTGGTGAACCCCTCTGTCCATTGGGTGTCACTACAATTTTCATGTAGTGAGCCCCTTTGTCCACCAAGTGCTGCTACAATTTGCAGGTATTTGTGTGTAACAAATGTTTTAGGACACCCTTGGCAGGCCAGGGGGGGAGCCCTGGTGAACACTGCTGACTAGTGCCAAAACTTGCAACAGTCACACAGCATAGCTCTCACGTGCCCAGCAAAAATCTCCAGACTTTGCCTGGCAACAGCTATGAGGAACCCTGCTCCCCTCTACCCTGCCCCTCTAAAACATCCCTCCTCAGCTGGCTGCAGCATAATTGTCCCCATAGCACCATTAACTGCTCACTGATTTTACGTAAACCTGACAAGGAAAGTGCTGTGTGCCCACATAAGCATTAAGCACGCCCACTTAATGGATAGTGGGTGAGTTCTGTCAGCATTCATTCCTTCACCAGCTATGTCTGAACTGCTCAGCAGTTCAGACCATGTCCCAATGGGAACAGTGTCTGACATTGGTCACTGGGTAGCCTGCTGTGCCATGCCCCAACAGAGCACCTGTGGGCACCCATCAAAGGCATCTCAGTACATGGCCTACTGGGTAACCTGCTACTGTGCCATGACATACATGGGGCTAAAAGACCTAGCAAGACTAAAAGACATCCAGAACAAATATTCACGTAAGATACAAAGTTGCCACTGGTGCAGAGCCCTGTTCCCTGCCTTGACCCTGCCTGTCAGCAGCATATCCAATGTCCAAACTTTGTCCAGCAACAACAGGGTGGGAGGGAGGTGAACTTCCTTTGGCTCTGTTACCTCAAGACTTATAAATTGAGTGCACAGCTCCCTGGGGTACCCCTTATTGATCAAAGATGTTTGATATTCGAGGGAGAATGAAGTGGACTGAGTCTAGGTCCAACTGGACCATAGCCAAATCAAAGAGCCTTGTGCAGGTGCTGGAGGATCCTGAGGTTGTGCACCAGTTTGTCTGCAAGTCCAGGGGCTAACTGGCACATCTACCTTGATGTTGCCAGAAGAATGGGTAAGCAGGGGAATAACAGGATGGCAGTTCAGTGCCATATCAAGGTGAAGATGCTAAGGGCTGCTTTCCACATGGACTTTTCCAGAACACAGTGGCAGGGCACCCCACTGTGTGATGTGGCCCATAACAGATACCTCCAGCTGCTAATGGAGGTACTGGATTGCTGTGAATACACAGGGTCAGAAGCCTCTGGGGCATCCTCAGCTGCTGAGATATCACCAATCACCACTGTGGGAAAGTGCAGCCACGCATCAGGGTAGGCTGACAATCCAGGATGATCTAGACAGATTAGTCAGATGGGCAGACCAGAACCAGATGCTGTTCAACACTGAGAAATATAAAGTGCTCCATCTGGGGAGGAAAAATCCACAACAAAACTTACAGGCTTGGTCATGCTACGCTAGCTAGCACCACATCCTGGGGGTCATAATTGACCATAAAATGAATACGAGCCACCAGTGTGATGATACAGTTAGCAGAGCAAACAACACACTGGCATGCATCAACCAATCCACCTAGAGCAAAACTAAGGAAGTTATTCTTTCACGCTACTCAGCATTGGTGAAGCCACAGCTGAAGTATCACGTCCAGTTCTGTGCATCACACTTCAAGAAGGATGTGGAGAAGTGTGAGAGAGTCCAGAGAAGAGCCACTCATATGTTCAGAAGCCTGAAGAACAAACCATATGAGGAAAGGCTGACAGACATGGGACTGTTCAGCCTAAAAAGAGACGACTTTGGGGGGATTTGGTGGCAGCCTACAAATGTATTAAGGGTAAGCACCAGGGGCTAAATGAACAACTATTCACCAAAGTACCCCAGGGGGGAAAACCAGAAACAATGATCATAAACTCCAGAGCAGGGGGCCGGACCCTATGATCTCACAAGGTCCCTTCCAGCCCTAAACTTCTGTGAATCTGTGAGATAATGCAGGGAGTGCATTATCAGAGTTCGAATTTGTGCACCACCACACTCCAATATGTCCACAAAGATGTAAGAAATTCATGGGGTGCAGATTTGTGTAAAATAAAGAAATTAATCAAATTACACTTAATTAAATTATTAAATTAATGAAATCACACCATTTTTCATCACCTGTACATATCAGCAAGCTGTGAGCTACAGGTATTGCCAGTCTGTAGCAGGGAACAGTGGTGTGTGGCACCCCCTACTCTAATTTAGTATGAAGAGACCAGCAGGATGGACTGTTATGCAGCACTCCCTGCAGTAATTGACTGTGAATAGCACACTGAGCATTTCATGAGATTTAAGAGCAATGGTGTGTAAACAACGATGGAAAAATAAAACCCACCATTTCAATTTATGGGACAAAGAATGCAACCCTAAAGAACTAAACCATCATCACGTGTACAAGAGCCCTCTGTGAACAGGGGCAGGGTCTGGTACATGGTAAGGAACTGTCCTATTGAAAACACTGATCAGGGCTGGGTGAGCTGGCAGAGAGGCAAAAAAGTCTGTCCTGTGTCTCAAGAACTGAAGGAGGCTGAGGGAAATTTGGATGACTTTTCTTTCAACCAGAGTAGCATGTGTCCTGCTCTGAAGGGAAGAAAAAATAGTAGAAGTGTGTTGGATCCATCCAGAGGGTCCAGAGAAGGTGATGCATTCAATGTGCTGCTAACCGGATTCAAAATACAAGGAGTAGCAGCAACGGTGAAGCTGGTTAGCAAATTATTCACTACCAAGGAGAAATATAATGAACATATATATGTATTGTGATTTTTAATGCTTTTCTGTGTAAGGTTTTCATTTGCTCTTTGATGTTTGATGTTATTGTGCTGGGTCAATTGTTATTGTGCTATTGTTATTCTGTTGTCTTCTATTGTTATAATTAAAAGATATATTTGGATTTTGTTTTTGTTCATTATTTTTCACTGAGGAGGGTTTGATGCCAGGTGTCCCACACTGGGTGATGCAGGTTGTACATTTGGCATTGCATAGCCCTTTCTGGTTTTCATAACCAAGCTGTTAAAAACTTTAGACAGATACAAAGAAGACAGCTTTGTTAGTGAGACTATTAAGGAAGTAAAGAAAAGAAGAAAAGTGACAGAGACATTCCACACCACTAATGAAATTGATAAGAATTTCTCCCACAAAAACTGTAACTTAACAAGAACATAGATTTGGGATAACAGAAACCTTGCAGATCACTGGAGAGTCAAGCTTACATTGGTTCCCAAACATCCCAGAAACATCCCATATACACACACATACATAGGATTAATCAGAATTATAAAGAGAAAACAAAGGAAGCCCCGAAAGAACCTAGGGCTAGTGTGATCCCATCTACCTCACCAAGTCCTTCCCTGAGAATTCAGGTGAGAACATGCGCTCTGCTGCACCCATTAGACAAATTCTGGGATAAGTGTGCATCTTGCAGTTTAAGTGTAAAGAATAAAAATTTGGACTGTAGCCTTGTTCCTTGCTTCTTCAATCAGCAGCCAGCCCACCAAAGCACTTGTAAGGCAGGTGACCCATCCCCCAACTTTGCTCATAATTAGATAGAAACTTTTTGCCTGACAAATTGTTTGCATTCTTCTTTGTTGTGGTAGGATATGTGAAGGATATGAACAGTGGGCCCCAGCTAAGTGAAGAAAGTGAGTTTTGGAGTTATTTCTCCTTTCCCATACAAACTTATGTTAAACCAAAAATGCCCTGGCCTTTCAGGGGCAGGGAAGGAAAATGTTCAATGGTGTCATATGCCTATTACAACCCAAACCTGCTGGGCTTGGAGATGTGGTGGGTGCTGTGGCAGGCTAGTAGGGGGTGCTCCTGTGCTAAGCCACCCAAATCACTGCGCACCTTGCAGGCTTCAAGTGCCTCCCTGGGGCGCCTCATGTTTGGTTAACCCCCTTCCTGGACCACACCCACTAGCCTGGGGGTAACGCAGCCACCACCCAGGGTCTAGACTGATCCTGGCTCTGTGTCCCCTGGGAAACACAGGTCTAGTAGTCCTGGAGGGTACTAGACCCACTCCAAGAACTTGGGGTGCTTTATTCAGTCTGAAGCACAAATAGTGGTCTCCCTTAGTCAGCTGAAACAAGGGGACCCCAAAGCAAAATATAGACCCACTCCCAATACGTCTCCCACACCAGGTAAAAAGGAGACCTTTACTGGTTACAAGGAGTAGTTTTGGAATAGGGTACATGGTATAGCAATATCAAAGAAATCCCATACAGCAAACAGGGTGGCTGGGCAGCCTTTGATTACACATCTGAGTTACTAAAACCTATATATCTAGTTGGATCTCAGGTAGCTTACTCACGAGTATCATCCAGAGGCAGGTGGAGATTCCCTCTGGAAGTAGGCAGTTAATTGATCATGAGTTTCAAGAGAGAGAGCAAGTTTCAGATGGTCCAGTTTCTCTCTCTCTCTCTCTGTTTTCATCATGGCTAGTGCCCCTCCTCCTGGGCAGTCCTTAACTTATGTAGGCCTTATGACCTCATTTACCTGGTCCAATGGAGGCCAGCACCTGTTGACTACCAGCTAACCAATTTGAAATGCATCACTGGTTGCTGGGTAGACTGGCATTGCTTAAAACAATAGGGAGCCTAAGCCCCCCCACCCAGGTATGTGATGCCAGTCATGTAGGCAGAGGGACCAGGTTTCCCCCTTCCCTCAGGAATGTATCCAACTCAGGTTACAACTCAGGGTTACCTAAAAAGATGGGATGCCTGCCTTCTGCAGGAACCATGTTAACCAAATTGTCTCATAGCCGAGTTTTTGGGGAGAGACAGAGGTGGCATTCTGCCACAGGTGCTACTCTTTAGTTGCTTGAAGCACAGGTAATATATATCTTTTATACTATACCTCACTCTAAGTGTATCCAGGCAAGGTGGCAGGTACTTGTCAAACAAAATGGTCAGGTTAGCACGTTCTGACTGGTATTCTCGTCTGTCAATCCAACTGCTCACTGGAGGATTCCAGCCCAAGTCTGCTGGGTTGATGTACAGAATCCCTACAGGCACAGTGCAAGAAAGACAGGTACAGCAAGGATGTAACACCATCTTTGTTTTGATGTGCAAAAATATCTCATATGTGAAAGCTTGTCTAACTCTATTGCAACTATGCAGTTGGTTCAATAAAATATATCATCCTAAGAAATCCTTTTCTTGAATTATTCCTTGGACCATCACAGCTATAACATCACTTTAACACTACCATTCATTCAAATAACCATTTAATAAGTACAGTAATTATCCTGCTACATGCCTGGTGATTTCTATTTTGATCACTGCACTACCTCTGAAGGACTAGCAGAACTTTCAACTGCACTTCATGGCATCCAGGTAGCATTGCTTCCTTATATCTATTGCATGTGGGCTGATGACCTTCACAAAGTGCTGGATGCTGTTTGTCCACACATGAAGGCACAATCTCTACACCTACAGCCAAGTACTCTCCACAAAAAGGGAAAAATAAGGGTTGGTAAGCATAAGAACTAGCAACTAAAGAACTAATAGGCTAGACAGGATGGCATATCTGTGTCCTGGGACTGGCATGCTAGTTGTGAAGGATGTATGCAAGTGCCTTGAGAGCTGTCAGACTTCTCAGAATGGTTCTGATAGGACCAGGTCTATGGAAGCAACATCATGGAAAATTAGTACATGGTTTACATCCACTTCTCTAAGCCTCCTCACTTATAACAAAGGGACAACAATCCTTCCATTCTCTTACACTGCATGCCTTACCTATTTAGATTGCAAGCTCTTCTGTGCAGGGACTGTCTCATTGCATTCATCCATTACCCTACAATGGAGTTCATTAAACACTACTGGAATTCTCCTGCTCTTCATTACCTGTCACTCATTTCATAGATTTCATAGACATTTAGGCTGGAAGGGACCCCAGAGGATCGAGTCCAGCCCCCTGCCCCGGGGCAGGAAGTCAGCAGGGATCATAGGATTCCAGCAAGATAAGCATCCAAATGCATCTTGAAGGCATTCAAAGTGGGTGTTTGAACCGTCTCTGGCGGCAGTCTATTCCAAAACTTGGGGGCTCGGCCAGGGAAGAAGTTCTTTCTTATGTCCAGCCTGAATCGGTCATGGCAGAGTTTGTGACCGTTCGATCTTGTCATCACTTGGGGTGCTCTGGTGAATTCTGCTTAAATCTCAAGCTACTAACTACATGATTCAGAAGAAAAGTGTAACAAGAAATAGCTTGTGTTTCCAGGCAACCCTCCACTGATGTGATTAGTGTTTTGGCTTAAGACTCTGGACTATCCTTGTTTTTCTGAAGGGGTTTACTCATTCCTCTATCACCTATCTGGCTACTAATGGCACTATGGAATAAGTCTGGGAGTTTCAAAGGGAAGCCAAATATGAAATGTCAGTGGGCAATTTATATTTAACTCCTTCACATCCATTAAAAAATCCCAGGCTAAATCTAGATCCATTTGCATATTGCAAGTGCACATGAATTCTATCTTCTTGTTTCATGACTCACCTGCTCTGGACACTGTTGCTGGAGTGGCTGTGCGAAGGTGACTGATCTCAAAGAGCAGCCTCATAGTTGGGTTCAAGGGTATTCTTTCATTGCTTGCTAATGTCAGCACCTGCAAAGAGTAGACAAATACAAGCTGGCAATGTAAAATCTCATGTTCGCTGCATCCTCCACTTCAATGGCAACAGGAATTGATTATTTCCTTGGTACCACAGTGTCAAAAGTAGTGGTCTTGATATGAATGAACCAGTTGCACTGCTTTGTTAACATCTGGTCCAATTTCATAAATCAATGCGCAAGCAGAGGGAGATATCTTCTTTCATCTTCCTTGTTTGCTGTACAATTAATCCTTCTGAGACTGTTTTATATTCCTATCCTCAGATCCTTCTTGATTAAAGTGTTTCTGAAAGTCCCCAGAGCAGCACACACATATCATCAGATACATTCTTGAATTTGTAGAGGCATCCCTTAAGCCTTCTAGGTTCCAATAGCAGGAATCCAGTCTATGTTCTGACTGGAATTACAACTGATAGGTTCTTTTTAAAGAAACTACTATAATCTCTCTCTAACTCAACTTCTCTGAACAGGTGGGTCCCTCTTTGCCCTCCATTCTCTCTCTCATGTCAGAGGGAAATATTTTTTCCAATGACTTGCTCTTTGCCCAGCTTATAAATAGGGGCCTAATTAATTTATGGCCAGACACAGGAATTTTTATGGCTTGATCATGGCCCAAACAGCTGATTTTGAAGCCAATTTCCCAGAGGTCCCGGCCCATGTCACTGATTAGCAGAGAGGCCCCAGGGGAAGAAGACATGGTAGGGAGGCTGCCATCTACCATCCCAAGGGGGGACAAGGGGGTGACTGCCATCATGGTTGCTTGTTCCCTTTTGTGCCACCCCACCAGCTGGTGCCTTCCCTTCCTGGGTAGGCTGTGAGGCAGCAAGGACCACTGGCTCCTACTAGGGAGCCATTTTATTTTTATTATTATTATTTTTTTTTTAGAGTTGATTTTGCAGACAATTGCAGATTCTTCAGCTAATCATGACTAAATTTGATACCCACGAATGCAAGTATCAAATTTAGACACAATTCATTAAAGTGCATTAATGCACTTAAAACAGGCTCAGGGAGCAGCACGAGATGCACGGGTGCAGGCCCGTTGCACCCCCGCACTCCCAAAGCCCCCCAGCGACCCCTAACCACCACAGAGCACCCCCAACGACCCCTGGTGGGACTCCACCATTCACTGGGCCACAGGTATAAATGGCTGTACCCTGTACAGGCATAATCGTGCAGAAAAAAGGGGTAGGGGTGTAGCTCTCTCTGTCAAGAATTGCTACATGTCCCTACAAATTGACATTGTCACCCAGGAAGGATGACTGGAGTCTCTCTGGGTTAAAATACATGGGGAACATGGCACAGGGGACATCATAGTAGGAGTCTACTACAGACCTCCTAACCAGAAACAACAGCTGGACCAGGAATTTGGCAGGGAACTGGTTGAGGTGGTACGCTCTTGGTGCAAGGTTATCATGGGAGACTAACTACCCGGGCATCTCATGGGAAAAGCAGTCGGCCAAATCCGATCGGTCACAAAGCTTCCTCACATGTGTGGATGAGCTCTACCTGACCCAAGAAGTCTGAGGGGCAAACATTGCTGGACCTGGTACTGGCCAGAGGGGATGATCTAAGTCAGTGACCTAAGAATTGATGGAAAGCTGGGTGACAGTGATCACAAGCTAATCACCTTTACTATCCATCGCAAAGGTGACAAGTCAGTCAGCAATACAGAAGTCCTTGACTGCAGGAAAGCTGACTTTAACAAGCTCAGGAGGCTCATTGTTGAGGCCCTAAGGGACCACGACTTGACAGGCAGAAGAGTCCAAGAGGAGTGGTTGCTCCTCAAGGGAGTGATCCAGACAGCACATGGGATGACCATCCCATCTAGGAGGAAGGGTAGTAAAAGGGCTCAGCAACCCCCTTGGCTCAGCAGGGAACTTGAGGAGACCTCCTATACCTCAAAAGACAGACTTATAAAGGATGGAATGTTGGAAGTACCATCAAGGAGAAGTACTCAACATTGGTCTGTACCTGCAGGGAACGGATCAGGAAAGCCAAGGCTGTAACCGAGCTCCATCTAGCCACACATATCAAAGATAACAAAAATATCAAGGATAACAAAACTATTAGAAAATTCATGGCACTCAGGTGAAGTACCTGAGGACTGGAAGAAGGCCAATATGGTACCCATCTTTAAGGAGGAGCGGAAAGTTGATCCTGGGAATTACAGGCCAATCAGCTTGACCTCAATTCCCTGTAAGATTTTGGAGAAAATTATCAAGGAGGTCCTTCTGGATAAGCTGTCGGAAGGCAACATCGTGAGGGATAGCCAGCACAGGTTTGTTGTGGGTAGGTCTTGCTTGACCAATCTCATCTCTTTCTATAACCAGGTGACACATTACCTGGACAAGGGAGGAGAGATTGATGTCATACATCTGGACTTTAAAAAAGCTTTTGATCTGGTGTCCCATGACCTCCTCATGGAAAAAATGGCCAACTGTGGCCTCAGCTTCAACACAGTCTGATGGCTGGGTAATTGGCTCTGAAGTCAGACCCAGAGAGTAGTGGTCGATGGGAGCAAATCATCATAGCACTCTGTGACCATTGGTGTCCCCCAAGGCTTTGCCTTTGGACCGGTTCTTTTTCACATCTTTATCAATGATGTGGACATTGGTGTCACAAGTGCACTGGCTAAGTTTGCTGATGACACTAAACTTTGGGGCACAGCATCCACACCAGAGCACAGGCTAGTGATCCAGGCAGACCTGGATAAACTTTGTAAGTGGGCGGATACGTTCAATAATGTTCAATGTACATGACGTTAAATATAGATAAATGTAAGGTACTCCACCTTGCGAGAAAAAACCCGCAGCATGCTTATAGGCTCAGCAGTGCTATGCTTGCTAGCACTACGGCTGAAAGAGACTTGGGGGTCATAATTCACCATAAGATAAACATGAGCCACCAATGAGATGTCGCATCTGGCAAAGCAAACAAAACTCCGGCTTCCATCCATAGATGCTTCTCAAGTAAATCTCAGGATGTCATCCTCCCTCTGTACTCGGCTTTGGTGAGGTCACAGCTGGAGTACTGCATCTAATTCTGGGCTCCACAATTCAAGAAGGAAGCTTGAGAGAAGTCCAGAGGAGAGCCACTTGCATGATCAGAGGGCAAGAGAATAGGCCTTATGAAGAGAGGCTGAGAGCCATGGGACTCTTCAGCCTGGAAAAGCGCATGCTCAGTGGGGACCTGGTGGCTGCTTATAAGTATATAAGGGGTTCACATCAGGATCTG